TTCATTTTTGGGCATTGCAGCCCAGGGCTTTAGGGTTTAGGTTGATGGGTCTGCTCCCGTTGTTTAATGCCTTGGTGTGTCAATGACATGTTGTTGGTTGCATGTACATGCCTTTGTATCTTGTCAGGTTTTTCCTCACTTCGGAGGGGTGGGTGTGTGTACACCCTGATTCTAAGCTAAGGGTCACTGGAGGACTGTGGATTCAACAGTTTCTTTTGCAGGGGGTGCAAGGAGCACTCTGGAGTCTTGCGCCAACGAAGACGCTCCAAGTTCTGAAGTCGGCTGACCATAGGAGTGGATGCCAATTTTCCGCAGCAGGGAAGCAGATACGGATCATTTCGGGATGCAATTTCCAGGACAAAGAAGCAAACTGGGATCATGTTCAGTCACATGCAGTACATGTTTGTGGTCATGTGCAATGAATGATGTGGATGGTCTCATGTCACGGTTCTTGCAGGATACATGTAGGACGTTCTCCTATGAGTACTTGCAGGTCCCCCCCAATGAGATCTTCGGACAAGAACCGATCGCGCAACTCATTATCCGTGTGTGCGGTGGTGGTTACTCTCTACACGCCCTGGCGTTGCATGCCATGTTTTGGGCCACACATGTCTTGCTCCACATGTCATGCGTGAAGTGTATACTCTGGTAGGCGTCTGAATATTCAAGAAAAATTATCAGTTTCCTTATGCGCTGCATCGCATTTCTCGCACCTCGTGCCAAAAGTAGACCGCTGCTAGCTTTTGGTGTTTAGGCCAAGCGTAGGAAATACCAATCTTGAACGTTGCATGTTTTTCTTTCGTCATGCATGTTTTAGTGGTATTTATCTACGTTGCGGACATGCATGAATTTCCGTAGCTTGGCCCGCCGCAGGCGTAAAACATTTTTCACCCACCTGCCGCGTCCTGGGTTTATCACTGCACGCGCTGCAGAACCTTTGCTACGCACAGACTCGCGTAGTCCTGGCACGCGTTGCTCATAGACTCGCGCAGTCTCAGCGTGCAACGCATCTAGATCACGTAGCTCTCACAACAGTCTCACACGCAGGGAGAGCTTACGTTTACTTCTGCATTGCGTCGCATTTCTCGCATCTCCTGCCAAAACTCGACCGCTGCTAGCTTTTGTATTTTGGCCAAGCGTAGGAAATACCAATCTTGAACGGGCTGGTCGTGGGCCCCAAAATTACAAGTGGATGGGCGGTGTGTCCCTGTGCCTAATCAGGGGTCCTTTCTGACTTGTGGTTTGGGCTTTCCCAGGGTGGTTTTTGTGGTGCTCAAAGGGATTTTTTGTTGGGTCTGCGCAGGAACCTGGCCCATAAAAGCAAGAGTTGTGTGCACACATTAAATTAGGATTATATAGCGCGCTGTGGTTTCAAGTGTCAAATTCCTTGCAGCTACCAGGGCCGGGCTCAGTAGTCGTGCGCAATGCGTGGTCCCTTGGCTAGAGCTTCTCACCACAAGGGGGGAGGAGGAACCAGCTTAGGGGGTTCTCTGACCAGGCTTCGTTTCTGTGTTCCCTTCTTTACCTGCTGCTTACTAGCCTGCTCATAGGTGGAGTCGGTGGAGTAAGACGTTTGCATTCACCCATGTCGAGGGATCAAGAACCTCGCGCAGGGTAAGGCGGCGACTGAAAATCCAACTAAAGAGGGTAGAAGGTAGGCAAGAGCAGTACAGATGCTCACCCGCAAGCCCTTCAAACAAGGTGGTTCTTTTTCCCCAACTTTTCATTTGTTAATGTTCCATCTACAGTTAAGTTTGACGCCTGGATGGCAGGCCAAACTGCCTAGGCACCGTCTGTTGTCTGAGAGAACGATGACCCAGAGCGTTTCGCCCACTTGATCGGAGGTCACTTGCGGTTCGAGCGCTCTTGCCCAGGCCTTGGATCGGTGTATCCGCTGAAAAGCTCTACGTCCTCAACACCAATCCCCGTTCTGCTAATGCGGTATAGTGGTGTTTCTCATGCTTATCAGGTCTACCATCCCTGCCTGCACGCTTCCGGAGCTTTGAGGGATTTCTCATGAGATTGGCCCCGAGACGAGCGTGGAACTCCCTGATGCGTGGATGGGCCCGACACTCGCAACAGCACGACGCATCAGAGTTCTGCCATTTTCTCTCTGAGAAGGGTTGTTCAGCCATTCGGTGTTTGAAGGACGATGGCAATCCAGACTCCATGTCTGGAATATTCCAGCCGCGGGGTTAGTTGGCCATTCCCACTGCGACATGAGATTGAATGTGGCCACAATTTGCAGCGCCTCATAAATGCTTGGCCCTCTCAAGCTGGTGCACATGCGACGTCTACTGTGCCAGCGATGGGGTCACGCGCAATCATGCGTCACTGGAGCTGGCTGATCATGTGGCCGTGCCTGCGTTCACCAATCCTGATTCCCTCGAAGTCACATGGCGCAAGTGTGAGCTTCAGGCGGCCATCCTGCCTAGGGGAGAGTGTCGCACTTCTGAGCCAGACTACCACCTTCTTGGGAAACCATACGTGGCTCCATGATGATGGAACGAAGCCCAGAAAAATGCCAATACTGCTGACATTGGCATTAACTGCTATCTCCCGTATCTGGCCTGTGCCCAGCTTTGAGTGTAGGTTTCGAGGTCACCTCAACGACACACCCGCCTTGTGCAGAGTGAGGGGCCCTTGATCTGCTACCAACGTGGTAGTCGCACCCTTTAGCGTTGTGTTTCACTTAAGGTCACTTCAATGGGTCTCATGGGTTTGTGGGTACCGCATTGTTGTTATGGTCCTCCGGGACAGACAGCGCTGGCAGTAGACGACTGCTCCCAATCGAGGAGCTGCGTGCCACTGAGCGTGTGAGTGACACACGCCTGGTGAGGACTTCTCCCCTACATCCGAAGGAAAAATTTTTGCCACCTTCCCGGACATGTGGCCTTGCCACATTCCGTGCGTATTCACAGCCACATATGGTTCATAGCTTTGGGCAGCATGTGCAGCAAACGAAAATCATGTGCACCCACCCGCGTCCACCTTCTTCTGAGGAAGGCTTTGCTTTCTCTTCAAGCAAATCTTGGCAACAGCATGTTTGGCCTCGCTCAGCCGCAGCTGAGGGCCATGCGGATCCATCCAGCCGGATGGTCGCATGCAGTCAATGCAATCTCTTTGCCTTAATGCATGTGGCCATGGGTGGGCCACATCATGCCTAATTGATTTACCTGTAGTGTGCAGTTGCCGCATCAGCGGAGGCCATGGCGTGCAGTTCCCGCAGCTGCGGATGGCGTTAAGAGCGTAGCTACCTGTAGTCCGTAGGTTTGTTCCTCTCCCGCAGCAGGGGGGGATGTCTGCCAAATGCTTCCGTGGCAGAAAAAGTTGCAATCTTCTCTTTGCTGTGGCACAGCGTATTGCTTGCTTTCCCACCATGCACAAAAGGTCGTGTCGCTTCTGCAACTTCAGTTTTACTTTCACACGCATATTCATATTGCGGGCACTTGTAGCTTCTTTGCTTGAGTGACAGACATGGATGACAAATTTGCATAGTTGAAGAAAGATATGAATTATACGTGGGTGTGGATTTTGTGTAGAACAATTTTCGTTCGAATGCACAACCTCCACTTATGGAATTGATTATGTGCATTGATCGCAATTTTGTTTGAATATTGATGTTCGACATGCAATCGGAAATAAGTGCCAACTGTAAGTTCTCGGAAGGGGTGAAACTTTATTTCCAAATTTCATGCATGCATGGTTTTGATTGGCTTTTTTGGGACAACTCAAAAACAGAGCAACCAATTTTGTGGGCAATCTGTTTTCACCAGCGTTGCCTGCGGGAACATGGGGTCATGGGAAACATGTTGTGCTGCAGTTTTTTTTTTATATTTCTGGGGGTGGCAAATTATTTTCATCCCACTCACCCACGCCTTTTTGTCTAGAGCCTACCCCTACGCCGTTTGAGTGCGGGGCTCGTTCGATGAAACTGAGTATTTTCTTCACTTGTGAAAATGATTGAGTTCTTTTTGTTCCAGACTTGGATAAGTTTTATTCGAATGCACAATTCCTATCTACAGAATTGATTGCGTGCGTTGATTGAAATTTGCGTTCCCGACTTGTTGCGTGCGTGCGTGCGTGCGTGCGTGTGTGTGTGTGTGTGTGTGTTTACAAGCCCCTCTTTGGTTTTTCCTCAAAAAAAAATACAAATTCGCATGGAGTATTCTTGGATTGAAACGGCTGTCATCATGTCACACAAGGATTTTGATTAAACCAAATTGATTGTATGGCAGCCGCATGGCCAAGTGGTGAGAAAAAATTAGCTCCCACCCTCCCAACCCTGCGTGATTATACATGTTCCGATGAGGAGTTTGTGCTACAGTTTGAACATTGATGCTCGACTTGCAATTGAAAATAATCCGAATACAACACCGCCATCACGCCATCCCATTCGAAGACCATTCCCATTGAAAAACCCGTCACCGGGCCTGCGGGAAAAAACGCAGCAAAAAAATGCTCAAGTTAATTCCCGGCCTATAACCATAGTATTTGTTGATGCAATCCCGATCTTGATTTTGCGTTGGCATGATCTTCGTTTTTGAGGTGCAGTGTCAGTTGAATGGAAGGCATCTTGGCAGCCCATGCTGAATGGATATGATGTGTGGTTGCTTTGTGTGACTCTGAAGCTGCATCTCTATTGAATAAGCCTTATTCCGTGAGACTTCGAATGTTTTTTATTGCTAGGGTTGGTGGCGCAAACACTCAGCCCCATTGCGCTCAACGCACGGGGTTGGCGCAAGCAGCAGGCGTATACTTTGTGCTCATGCAATATGCATGTATGTATCATTATATATATACACATATGTTTATATGTTTGTGGGATATGTTCCGTGACGTTGACCGCATACACACATGCACGAATACGACATGGTACATGTCCATCATGGCTGGCCGGGACACGGAGCTTATTCGATTCTTGAAGTCAGCTGCGTAAACAAAGTCAAATCATTGAAAGGTGGTGTTTGGCAGTGACGGTTTAAACGACTCATTGACAGGATCCGGTGCATCTTTCATTGCTTTGCAATCCTCCCAGTTGAAGAGGCCTTGCAGAATTCCGTTACACCAGCACCTGTCACTGATGCAGGGCTGGCGATGCTCTTCCACGACATGCGGGAAGCTCATCGCCCGTGTTGCCGTGTTCAGAATTTGGCCGGATTGAGGCGTACAGCCAGAGCGTTTTGGCTGGGCAGAACACACCACCCATTCTCCGAGCATCCGTGCCGCTTGCAAATTACAAGCAAACCATATGAGTAGCATATCAGCAAGAGCTGTGTGCCAGGCAGTGAACCCGGGTAAACAGTTTCTATTGCTTTCGGCAACCGACGAGGTCATTTAGATTTGCACAGAGGGGGAGGGGGCGTTTTGTACATTGAAAATTGTTTTGCATGTCTGCAAGGACAACAGATGGTCCGCTTCTGCCCAGGTGTTCCCTCCTGCTAGCATCGGCAGGTTTGCTGTGTATTGCAATGAGCTCAGGCTTTACCATTTTGGGCTTTGGCAAACATCAACGTTGCGATGGTGCGTTGGGTTTTTTTGTGCAGCGTTTTTAAGATGCCAACAAAGCCCAGTTTGTCACACGTATGTCTAGGCGGGGCAACTGCATAAAGCTCGTGGGGATCTCGCCGCAAACTTAGAATTGCCCGATGCCTGCAGAGGATGGCTTCACGTTTTGTACCAGGTGGTGCCATACCAGGGTCCTTACATCCGGGATGAGTACATTCACCGCATATTCTTCAGGGTGTACGAACAACCTTCGAGAGTTTGGAACCGAGATTTTTCCAAGACGATCAAAAGAGTTTGCTAAGTCAGTAGTGCGCTGGAGGTTCCCGGGCAATTTCTGAGCAATTATGGACAGCTTCGACAATGGATGAGTCGCCATGGTCTGATTGGAGAGGTTGGGGATTTGGAAAGCGGACGGTCATGGGGAGCTGCTCCGCAAACTTTTCACCAGGCTGCCCGGAACGGTGGAAAGATGTCAGAATTGCTTATGACGGCAGCTGGGCACCCCGAAAACGACTTTGGGGCACCGCGTCCTTTGCTCACAGGAATGAACTGAGGTTCGCAAGCGTCCCAACTCATCAGTGTGGGCCCTATCGCGCTGTAGCTGTGGACCGCTCCTGCAGATGCGAATAAGGCTAACTGTGCTAACTTTCCATCAGCTATTGTCGCGGAAGATCTCTCATTGAAGGTTTCTGTTGCTTCGAGCCCGCTGGATCCTTTTGCCAGCTCCTGAGATCTTTGCCGCGTTGGACCACATGAAGGTGTTTGGTAGTGAGGCTTAGCTATGTTTGCTGCAGACCTTCATCACTATCGACAAGGGAGTTGGTATGAACAAGGTCTGTTCGCCTTCCACTGGAATTGACAAAGTCCAGCAAGCTTCCAAAGCTATACGGTACGCTTTCCCAGGCAGGAAATTGGTTTATGCTGGTGTGTTTTCCACTGCCAGCTTTCACTGTGGCCTGACCTGAAGGCTCCAACTCCAACAGACGATACAAAGAACGACGTCTCAGGCACCCTGCCAGCAATGCCTTATGGTCGCACAAGACATAGGTGCATTTTTAGACACTTTGATTTCTGGTCAAATCCAGTATTCCAGGAGATGGCATGAGTTTGTCTACATGGAGTCTGGGTGTGACGGTCGACCTGAACCTCCAAAAACCGCATTGAGCTACAGCTGCGAGATGGGAGCAAAAGCTAGGTGACTGTACTTGTGATTGCTTGCTATCTGGATTCTGCTTGTGCGACCCCGATTCAAGTGTCACATTTTCAGATTTTCACACCAGTTGCCGACTTTTGCCAGAATGAAGTTCGAGATTTTGCTTCGTTTAGATGTGTAAAGTCCTACAAGGCCATGCAGCCACACTGTTACCGCTGTACTTTGGGCCGAATGCTCTGATGCCATGGAGAACCTCTGAAACCTTCTGGGTGTGCTGACTCGTGAGGCGCAAATTGGCAACTACAGCTTGCATGTGAAGTTGACTTCTTATCGCCCTGTTTCAGGTCATGTCCGTCGAGATTCAGAAGCAGATCAAGGACTTTAGCCGACTTCCTTACGGGCAAACTGTGCAGACTTGCAAAGTAGTCAGTAGCCCGTAGCCCTTGCTGCTCCAGGCAGAAATTCAACAGGACAATTTTGACATTTCGTACAGTAATCTAGTTGATATGAGGGTTCGTGGACCGTGAGCAAGAAGGCTGGGACCAGCGAGTTGGTGCAAGGTTGGGTATTCAAGCCTAGACAAGGTCTGACATCGAAAGGTCCTGGTTGTGTATGGTTGGTGGCTGGGATCCTCGAGTTATTTTGGCTGTAAAGGCTTCGATGGCTTGGGCTTTATGCAGGTGTGTTTGCAAATCCTAGCGGCAAGGGCAGGGTTTCGGCTGGACCTAAAGTTAGCTTGGATTTTATATGATTTTATGAAATCAGGTAACATTCTGGGCCAGCTGAAATTCTTTGAATTAGGATTCCTTACGTTGACTTTAGTTGTGCCCATGATTTGTACAAACAACCTGCCTTTGAGAGGGTGATTATTTTCCAACACAGGGGTGACAATGCACAAATCGGTAAATATTCTATTGCTGCTGCTGCTGCTACTACTACTACTACTACTACTTTACTATTGCTATTGCTATTGCTATTGCTATTATTACTACTGCTACTACTAGTACTACTACTACTACTACTACTGCTAGGCATACTTATGGTGTTTGACGACTCTCTTTTTTGTTGTCTTTGTCTGAGTACGACAGCCGCCATGCACACTTTCACTGCTATTTACAGCATTTCCTGTTTACGGAATCTGTTATCTAGTTGTTTATCTTCTTCCAGTTGCGAGTCAGGATTTTTCGTCTTTTTTTTGCATTGTTGCGGTC